TATAGGCATATAAAAAAGGCAGTTTTGTAAAAAAAACATTAAGAAAGTGACAGTTGAACTTGTATACATTCCAAAGATAGTGAAAAATATATTCAAATAAGTCATAACAAACACAATGCACATATTAATAGTTGCAAAATACTAGTAGTAAATAACTATTGTTAAACACACGGTATGATCACTTTGTATGGTGTTACTCAACAGTCAGTCCATTCTCATCTAAAAAAAATGATGGAAGAAGTCCCAAATCTTGAAACATATGTGCATTTATTTGTTTGATTGTGTAAGTTAGCCTTTCCATTGCTATACAAGAAGACATTTCCTTAATCCATTGTTACACTGTACTCTTGATTTGCTAAGGTTGGGACTTATATGAAATAATAAATGCCAATACTTTAGTTATATGGATAATTAATTAAACTCTGATTTGCATGTATAGAATAAAGCAAAATGAACTTTAATGTGCAAAAACGACGGTATTTAATTCATTACTATTTATTCACTATTTTAGTTTTCTTTTTGAATGTATTTATTTCACAATGCACATAGTTTCTAACAAATAATCTTGATTTTGTTGATGTTCGATACATTTAATATCTTTACATCTCTTAACAGATGAAGCTATCTGATAATGTTTTACATTTTACAATGATATAAATAGCTGCTAAAATGTGCCTATTATTGTTTTGCTTTAAGCGAGTGCACTTGCACATGCTTCCATAGAGTTTTCAGTATTTTAGGACCTGAGTGTTATCCTAAACACTTTCTGTTCAGTAATTTTCAGGGTGTAGGCAATTGTTAATGGGCGTTGCACATGACAGCCCTCAATGCCAGGTAAAATTTATGCTCTAATCGTCCAGACTTGTTTCTCAAGATAAGAGCATTACTCATGAAAATTACTGTGCGTTCTATTAAAACAGTTTTCACACTGTTGATATCCTATACCAGTTCATATGTTTGTAAACAGTGTTTTTTCCAACATGTTCTCCACGCAAATCTAATTAATTTTGGTGTGAAATTTAATCCGATCCTTCACCCACACACTGTTTTTGTTGTAGTTGGAGCCAATGTTACTATTAACCTATTTTTATGGGTGGATGTTGGTATCAGATCCAACTCTGTCCATTTTCCTTCAGATATGCATATGTCTGTCTGTACAGGCGGTTGCATGTTGTTTCTTGAAAAAGCATGTGATGCAGTGCACAGTATGTGGCTGTAAATTATTCACATTACAGAGCATAATTTGTCACATGACCTCTCATTTAGTGCACTGGCTATCTAATGAAGTTGTTTCAGATGTTTAAATGTCATGCTGTTTATGCAGATGAATTTCCTGTCATTGTTTACTCAGCCTTGTGTTCTTCCAAACCCATATCAATAGTGTTCATCTTGAGTAGTCTGTTAAAAAGTCTTGTCTTTAATCAGATCTGTTTTTTTACTCACTACCTCTGCACCCAAATCCAAGTCTTCTGAAAGAGATGATGGCTTGTCATTTGGGCATTTATTCACACATAAACCTTGATCAGCCAACAATGATTGTTAGCACTATTTTATTTTAAGTTGAGACACAGTTCACCCAAAAATGAAATCTTACTCTGTTTATTCACTCTGTAGTGGTTTTAACCTTTGAGTGTCTTTTTTCAGTTCATTACATTACAAAGACAATATTTAGAGAGTACTGGAAACCAGTAGTTATTGACATCCATAGTAGGACATGCAAATACAATTGAAGTTAATTGTTACAGGTTTCCAGATTTAAAAAAAACAACAACAAAAAAAACAAGTTTGGATCAAATGGAGGGTTAGAATTGCGGGGTAAACTATTTAATTGATTTTTAAGAACCAGTTTGTTTCTTTCTTGTGTCACCATCCTGTATGAACTTCTTCAGGAACCAATAAGGTTTATTTTTGTGTGTCAAATAGGTACGGTTGAGCTTTTGTTTATGCCTTCTGATCAGTATTTTTGTGTAAAAAAAAAAAACCTTAATTAAATCTGTTCATCACATAAAGCAATTACAGTGCATCTGGAAAGTCTTCGTAGCGCTTCACTTTTTCCAAATTTTTTTTTATTACAACCTTATTTCAGAATGGATTATATTAATTTATTTCGTCAAAATTCTACACTAAATACCCCATAATGAAATGTGAAGAAAGATTTGAAATTGTTGCAAATGTATTTAAAATAAAACACCTGAAAAATCACATGTACATTAGTATTGACAGCCTTTGCTGTGAAGCTCTAAATTGAGCTCAGGTACATTCTGTTTCCACTGATCATACTTGAGATGTTTCAGCGGCTTAATTGGAGTTCACCTGTGGTAAATTCAGTTGATTGGACATGATTTGAAAAGGCATACACTTGTCTATATAAGGTCCCAGGGTTGACAGTGCATGTTAAAGCACAAACCAAGCATGAAGACAAAGGAATTGTCTGTAGATCTCCAAGGTAGGGTTGTCTCGAGGCACAAGGTTAGGGAAGGTTACAGAAAAATTTCTGCTGCTCTGAAAGTTCCATTGACCACAGCGGCCTCCATTATCCATAAGTGGAAGATGTTTGGAACCACCAGGACTCTTCCTAGAGCTGGCTGGCCATCTAAGCTTAGTGATTGGAGAAGAAGGGCCTTAGTCAGGGAGGTGATCAATAACCCGATGGTTACTCTGAGCTCAACCATATTCTGTGGAGAGAGGAAAACTTTACAGAAGGACAACCATCTGTGCAGCAATCCACCAATCAGGCCTTTATGGTAGAGTGGCCAGACGGAAGCCACTTCCCTCCTGAAATTTGCCAAAAGGCATCTGAAGGACTCTCAGACCATAAGAAACTAAATTCTCTGGTCTGTTGAGACTAAACTTAATCTCTTTGGAGTGAATGCCAGGCGTTACATTTGGAGAAAACCAGGCACCACTCATCATCGTGCTAATACCATCCCTACAGTGAAGCATGGAGGTGGCAGCATCATGCTGTGGGGATGTTTTTCAGCAGCAGGAACTTTAAGATTAGTCAGGATAGAGGGAAAGATGGATGCAGCAATGTACAGAGACATCCTGATTGAAAACCTGCCTCAGAGTGCTCTTGACCTCAGACTAGGGTGATGGTTCATCTTCTTGTAGAACAATGACCCAAATCCTAAGACCTAAATCCTGTTGAACATCTCTGGAGAGATCTGAAAATGGCTGTACATCATCG